ACACAGAGAGAGAGTGTAAGAATCCACACACACACACACACACACACACACACACACACACACACAGAGAGAGAGTGTAACACTGAGAGAATCAGCAGTTTCACTGTTTTACATGAATGTCATTAGTGGTGAACATGAATCTTAATCTCATGGATTTTATTAAGAATTGTGAAATCGCTCAAAACGCATCTCCTCTAAACTGACCAGTGAAATCACTTCTTGCTCAACGCATCAGCCAATCAGATTTCTCTTGTGTTTGTTTACAGGTTTCTGCTCTGACATCACGGAGATTCAGTGTAGCATGCTGCCGTACAACCAGAGCGGAGTGTTGCCGGGGACGACGGTCGTCAAGAGCAGCGAGCTGCAGATGTTCCTCAAGTTCTTCAGCTACCTGAGTCAACTGTCCTGCTACAGACACATCATGCTGTTCGGATGCTCCATCGCACTCCCACAATGCATCAGCCACAGAGACCGCAGGTCTGTGACACCCATCACTCTCTGTCTCGTGTTCAGCGTGAGAGAGAGAGAGAGAGAGAGAGAGAGAGAGTGTGTGTGTGTGTGTGTGTGTGTGTGAAGGCTGTTCCTCTCATCTTTCTGACTTTGACTTGAGCACTAGAATCACAATTACAATCAGAGTCTCATAGAGAGTGCTCACACACAGACACACACACACACACACACTTACATGAATGTCATTAGTGGTGAACATGAATCTTAATCTCATGGATTTTATTAAGAATTGTGAAATCGCTCAAAACGCATCTCCTCTAAACTGACCAGTGAAATCACTTCTTGCTCAACGCATCAGCCAATCAGATTTCTCTTGTGTTTGTTTACAGGTTTCTGCTCTGACATCACGGAGATTCAGTGTAGCATGCTGCCGTACAACCAGAGCGGAGTGTTGCCGGGGACGACGGTCGTCAAGAGCAGCGAGCTGCAGATGTTCCTCAAGTTCTTCAGCTACCTGAGTCAACTGTCCTGCTACAGACACATCATGCTGTTCGGATGCTCCATCGCACTCCCACAATGCATCAGCCACAGAGACCGCAGGTCTGTGACACCCATCACTCTCTGTCTCGTGTTCAGCTTCAGTGCGCTTCATTTCCAGGTTGTTGATTTGCATGTAAACCAGATAATCAATATTTTAATTTATTGAAAGGATAGCCCCTTGAGATGTAACATCTCATTTTCAAGGGGGTCCTATAAACACAAAAACGAAATATTACAACATAAACAAAACATGCACACACACAAATATACAAAAACAAAAGACATACAGTCAACCAGTCCCCCACTCCCACAGCATGATTACAAAACAATCAACGTCATACATAAGCAGAATCAACATAAGAAAACTTAGAAACATACACAAACTATTTTTAGATAAGAAAATAGACATAGCCTAAAACAATGAAAGGAAGTAACAGATCTCAAAGACTGAGGAAGATTATTCCAATCAGAAGGAGCTTTATATTGAAAAGACCTACGCCCGGCTTCTCTAGAAATTCTGGGAACAAAAAGAAAGGAAATTGCGCATGTCTAAGTGAATAAGAATATCTGTATGGAACCAAATACTGTTTCAAATACCAAGGACAATCAAAATAAACACATTTAAAAATAAACAGAGCCAATGAAATTGTCTTCTAGATTTAGAATGTAACCAATTAAGCATTTCGTACATATGGCAGTGATGAGTACGATATGGACACCTTCACACAAATCTACACAAAGAATTATAAACCACATTAAGAGGCTTCAGATAAGTATCAAAGGTATTTTGATATACAATATCAGCATAATCAATAAGAGGTAATATTAGCTGAGAAACAATACTTTTCCTAACATGACATGTAAAACAATTAATTGAACGGTAAAGTAAACGCAAGCAACCATATATTCTATTAATATAATCAATATGGGGCTTAAAAGAGAGTTCAGGGTCAATCCAAAGACCAAGATATTTAAATGAATCAACAGACTCAAGAAGTAAACCATCATCAAAAGTAATATTCAAATCCACACTCTCTTTCACACACACACACACACACACACACACACACACACACAGAGAGAGAGTGTAACACTGAGAGAATCAGCAGTTTCACTGTTTTACATGAATGTCATTAGTGGTGAACATGAATCTTAATCTCATGGATTTTATTAAGAATTGTGAAATCGCTCAAAACGCATCTCCTCTAAACTGACCAGTGAAATCACTTCTTGCTCAACGCATCAGCCAATCAGATTTCTCTTGTGTTTGTTTACAGGTTTCTGCTCTGACATCACGGAGATTCAGTGTAGCATGCTGCCGTACAACCAGAGCGGAGTGTTGCCGGGGACGACGGTCGTCAAGAGCAGCGAGCTGCAGATGTTCCTCAAGTTCTTCAGCTACCTGAGTCAACTGTCCTGCTACAGACACATCATGCTGTTCGGATGCTCCATCGCACTCCCACAATGCATCAGCCACAGAGACCGCAGGTCTGTGACACCCATCACTCTCTGTCTCGTGTTCAGCTTCAGTGCGCTTCATTTCCAGGTTGTTGATTTGCATGTAAACCAGATAATCAATATTTTAATTTATTGAAAGGATAGCCCCTTGAGATGTAACATCTCATTTTCAAGGGGGTCCTATAAACACAAAAACGAAATATTACAACATAAACAAAACATGCACACACACAAATATACAAAAACAAAAGACATACAGTCAACCAGTCCCCCACTCCCACAGCATGATTACAAAACAATCAACGTCATACATAAGCAGAATCAACATAAGAAAACTTAGAAACATACACAAACTATTTTTAGATAAGAAAATAGACATAGCCTAAAACAATGAAAGGAAGTAACAGATCTCAAAGACTGAGGAAGATTATTCCAATCAGAAGGAGCTTTATATTGAAAAGACCTACGCCCGGCTTCTCTAGAAATTCTGGGAACAAAAAGAAAGGAAATTGCGCATGTCTAAGTGAATAAGAATATCTGTATGGAACCAAATACTGTTTCAAATACCAAGGACAATCAAAATAAACACATTTAAAAATAAACAGAGCCAATGAAATTGTCTTCTAGATTTAGAATGTAACCAATTAAGCATTTCGTACATATGGCAGTGATGAGTACGATATGGACACCTTCACACAAATCTACACAAAGAATTATAAACCACATTAAGAGGATTCAGATAAGTATCAAAGGTATTTTGATATACAATATCAGCATAATCAATAAGAGGTAATATTAGCTGAGAAACAATACTTTTCCTAACATGACATGTAAAACAATTAATTGAACGGTAAAGTAAACGCAAGCAACCATATATTCTATTAATATAATCAATATGGGGCTTAAAAGAGAGTTCAGGGTCAATCCAAAGACCAAGATATTTAAATGAATCAACAGACTCAAGAAGTAAACCATCATCAAAAGTAATATTCAAATCAAAAGGAAAAGAACGACACCGTCGCATGCCAAACAACGTACAACAAGACTTCTTCTTATTCAATGTAAGCATATTGTTATGAAACCATTGGTTGGAACCAAGTTAAAATCAGTTTGTATTGTAAAGAATTCTGGATTTGCAACAAATCAGAATCACTGGTATAAATAACAGTGTTATCAGCATAAAGATGTACTGAACAATTAAAGCATATTTGAGATGAATAATTAATAAAAATAGAAAAAAGTAGTGGACCCAGAGTGGAACCTTGAGGAACTCCTTTTTCAACAATCGAATAATCAGACTGAAAACCTTGGAATACAACATACTGACGCCTGTTATGCAGATAAGCATTAAACCAAAGAAGAGCATTTCTAGTTAAACCAATATAAAACCATTAATCAAGAAGAAGGTAATGATCGACCATATCAAAGGCCTTTGAAAGATCGATGAAAATGGCACCTGTGGCTTGGCCTTTGTCAAAGGATGAGAACACATCATTTGTGAAATCGGGTTATTTCAGTCAACTGATTTTTGTTAGTTATCAGCGTACTGATGTGCATGTAAACATGCTCATTGTCATGAAAGTCAGAAGCACAGAATCCTCTAGAATCTCACTGTATTTATAGCATCAAGATTCAGCCCGAAACTGATGGAAGTTGAATTTAAAAATGTTATTTACAGGTTTAAAAGACAGAAATCCCAGGTTTTCAATGTAGACACTTCTCAACCTCGCTGTCCCTTCACATACACACTAATTTAGCAGATGCTTTGGCATAAATGAGCAGTAATACAGATGATGAAAGTGAGCAGCAGTCAGTGCCGGGTAGATTACTTATAAATTGTAGCCCATTAGTGATCACAAATTACATAATGGAAATTGTAGTTAGTAATATAATCTGTTGGATTACACATATTATCACATTAAACAATGCTTCATCATTCATGCCCTCAGATCAATGAAGCCGACAATCAATCAGTCCCCAAAAGAAAAACAAAACCTATGCTGATTGAAAGAACACAAGTTCATGAAAAGACTGAATGCAATACTTAGTAATAATATAGCATAATGAGAGATCTGCAAGCACTTTTTTAAAGGGCTGCTCATTTTTGAATGGTAACAATCCTAAAAAACAAGTGCAAAAATTATCCACTTTTTGGGGGAAGTTGTTATACCCTGTCAGTAAGTTTTATTCCAATATGATCATATTAACTAGCATTTTATAGGAAAAAGAAAATCCTCTCCAGGTCAAAATGACCCGAACAACATGAGGGTTAACATTAACCACTTGTAGTGTTGGAGTGTTTCTATAGTTTGTTCTGTCGCAGGACTCTGGTTCTGCCCTGTCGGTCGTTCTGTGAAGTGGCTCGTGAGGGCTGTGAGCCCGTGCTGCAGATGTTTAACGCGTCCTGGCCGGAGCTCCTGCGCTGCTCTCAGTTCACCAACAACATGGGAACGAACGCTGAAAACACGCCGCTCTGCTACACGCCGCGACACGCCAGAGGAAAGCTCTGTGAGTGCTCGTCCAGTACTGGAATCACGCCTGGAATCACGCCTGGAATGGTGACGCTCTGATCGCTTGTCTTTTTGTGATTTTGTCTTAAGCTGCGTGTGGAAGAAGCGATCACTTCCTGTGTGCGACCGGAATATGCATCCCCCTGAAACTAGTGTGCAATGGATACAACGACTGCGACGACTGGAGCGACGAGGCCGACTGCAGTAAGTGTGTGCTTCTCATTTTCTTAGTTGTGCATTAGATCCAGCCCCATAAAATATGAGATAAGGAAGCAAGGAAAGAAAATGAGGATGGAGAAATTGATGGAAAACCTGCAGTGCATCAGTGCTGCCCACTTTTTCAGTGCCGCTGGTTCCAGAAGTATTTTTCCATTCATTTTTTCCCATAGGGATTTTAAACGTCTTCATTTAAGTATTATAATCCATGGACCAAATCAGCCAGCTATGAAGAGAATCACAACATTACAAACTTTGATTTGAAGCAAAAAAAGTGCAACATGTATTGCAAAATATGCATAGTATTTTGAGAGCATGGGGAGACTGACTTGATTATGTCATTTGTGGTGCTTCATGAGAGTGTGGGAGCTAAAGAGTGCTTTTTGGCAGGATTTGCTCACTGCAACTCCCTGATTGGTGGAATTTTCTTTACAGCATCATGGGTAAGGTAGTTTTTCTCCAGGGATTCTGCTGTTAAAAATGATTATTTAAAACATATATTGAGATAATGTGAACAGATGCCTTTAACAGAAGCAAATGCCAGCAGGTCTGTCTTTAAAGGTTTGTAAGTTGTTAAAAATCTATTTCCCTATGGGAAAAAATGAATGGCATTTTTACTTCCGGAACCTGACTGTTGCACTCTGTTTAATAAATTTCTTGACACTTCAGAGCGTCATCAGCTGCGCTCAAGGGATCTGCCCTTATGCTGCTAAGGATTGGTTATTCATAATAAAAATTAATAAAACAAGATGCCCTGTTCAAAATATGATTTATTTAAACTGCAATCACAAATTAAAATGACTGTGACAGATGGAGAAGAATTTGTACATTATCAGTTTTTCAACAAGAAAAACTGCCTCCTCGCTCAAAGCTCCTCTGAAAGCTTCCTCGTTCCTCGCCTCCTCACGATGCAATTAGAGAATCAAGACGTCCTTCATGATGGCTGAGTTTGATCGATATCCGGGTCACGGCCGGAGGACGAGGAGCGAGGAAATGAGGGAGCATAAGCTTGAGTATTGAGAAGCACCTGTGCTCACACACAGTAAAGCAGTTGCTGATTCCTGGGAGTGCAGTATGTGATTTGCATACACACATTGAAGAACCACACATTCTCTTTCATTCATTGTGATCCTCTCGCTCTGTCGTTTGTCCAGCTTGTGCGGATGGTCAGTATTTGTGTACCACCAGTCGCTGTATCAGTTCTGATCTTCTGTGCGACGGCTACGATGACTGTGGTGATCTGAGTGATGAGCAAAACTGTGGTGAGTTCTAGAGCTGTCAGAGTTAACATGTTAACACACGTGTTGTCTTGTTGGAGTGTGTAAAGAGGACTTTGTGCTGCTCTGATCAACTGGGTCTGATGACTCTGAACTCTAAAGTTGCTGCTTACCTATAAAGACTTTCTGCTTGTGTTTCATTTAATTTGAGACATAATTCAGAAATAATGTGCCCTCTGTGCTGTGCTGTAGTGTGTGACCTGACTAAAGAGCATCGCTGTGGAGAAGGACACTGTATTCCTCGAGACTGGCTCTGTGACGGAGATCATGACTGCCTGGACAAAAGTGACGAGCTGAACTGCTGTGAGCCGCTGCACATCACACTCACAACACACACACACAGACACACACACACACTCACTCACTCACTCACACACAAACACACACACTAAAAAGTGAAGTGAAGTGACCAAGTGTGGTGACCCATACTTGGAATTTGTTCTCTGCATTTAACCCATCCAAGTGCACACACACAGTAGTAAACACACACCCGGAGCAGCTGGGGGTTCGGTGCTTTGCTCAAGGGTCTCAGCTCAGTCATGGTATTGAGGGTGGAAGAGAGCACTGGTTATTCAGTCCTGCCAGACCTGAGACTCAAACCCGCAACCTTCGGGTTACAAGTCCAACTCACTAACCATTAGGCCACGACTGCCCCTTACAGAGCGTTTGTAACCTTGCAGGACATTAATGTGTGTGTGTGTGTGTGTATGTGTGTGCGTGTGCGTGTGCGTGTGTGTGTGTGTGTGTAGCGTGTAAGTCCCAGGGTTTAGTGGAGTGCAGGAACAGGCAGTGTATTCCCAGCGCCTTCCGCTGTGATGGTGAAGATGACTGTAAAGATGGCAGTGATGAAGAGAACTGCACACAACAACAGAGTGAGTTGAAACACACGCACACTCACACACACACACACACTCACTCGCACGCTCGCTCGCTCACACACACACACACACACTCACACACACACACACTCACTCACACACACTCACACACACACACACACACACACACACACACACACACACACACTCTCACTCACTCACTCACACACTCACTCACTCACTCACTCACTCACTCACTCACTCT